GGTTCAGGGATGCCCCCTTAAGTGCATTCAGAGACCCACCAGGTGAAGTGCCCTGTGTTAGAGGCTTTCTAAGGGCCCTAACAATTGTAAACTGCTCTTGTATTGCTCTGATTTCTCTGAATTTTCCCCTGCCTGCATGCCTCCTACCCATGTAGCCCCTTCCCTCTCTCTAGGCTCTGCTGCTGCCTCTGCAAGATGTTTCAGGCCCCCCAGTTTGGTTAGATTGAGCCGCCTGTTCCTCTCCTCTGACAAACTGAACTAGGAAAGTGAAGGCTGCTGTGAGTGGGCCAGAGCCTAAACTGTGACACCCTTGTCCCCCAGGAAAGGCCTGTTCTCCATGCAGTGGCGGGACTGTACCAATGTCCCCCAGCTTCTGCAGTCTTGGAGGGCTCAGTGCCTCCCCCTGCTGCTCCAGCCTCCCTGGGCCCCTGTGTAAGCTGCTTAGGGGTTAATTAAGCCCATCCCTGAGCCTGTGATTCAAGGCCTCTCAATCTGGGACTGTCCAGTAAACCCATTAATAGTGCCTGGCAGGGGTGTAGAGGGAGGGGAAGGCCCGGCAATTTAGCTTCCCTGCTGCAGGCCTCTTGATAAGCCCTGGTCGGGTGGGGGACAGGGCAGGGAGTGGAGCCCGGGGTGGGGGTGAGGGCCTGCTTCCTCTGAGGACTCCTGGGGCACCTGCTCCCTTGGGTGCTGTGCCGTGGGCTGCTTTGCTTTTCCATATTCAAAGGACGAAGGAGAGGAGCAAAGCTGCTTAACCTCTTGGAGCCTGTGTTTCCTCCTCTGTAAAGAGGTGATGGGAGACTCAAAGCATAGGAGTCTTGTCTTTCCCTCAGGTGGCCCTCTGTGCCTGCCCTGGGGCTGGACTTTGCTCCTGGCCTCAAAAATCTAATGGTGGGTTCTGCCCCTTCTCATTTGGTGGTCATTACACTTCCTATGGGCCTGATAGACAGCTGTGCCCCTGCCTCTAAGGTCAGGTTCACCCTCCCCGTGCCCTCTGCCTTCCCCCAGAGGTCCTTGCCTTGGGCTCTGCAGAGAGTGAAGCTATCAGGGTCCTTCTACCCTTACCTACGTGTCAATATGGCCACTATCATTGTGGAGAGAGGGAGATGGTGTGGGTGTATTCCTCTAGCAGAGAGACCCCAACTCTATTTCTAGTAAGGTGGAGGAGTCCTTTTCCTGAGGGTTGGAGATACATGGGTGTTGGCATGGGCTGAGAGTTTAGACAGCTTACCCCTGGGCTCCAGTCCATCAGCTCTGCCCTCTCTTCCCCCTTCAGCTCGTTCCCTCCTTTCTTTGAATCAAGGCTAGGATGTGGGGCTTTCAGTTGGAGTTGTCCCTTTAAATCTCTGGGTTAGTGTCCTAGTGTGTAATCCTGCTTGCTGCCATGGCAACCATGGGTGTGCTGTGACCTGGTGTCACTCCTCAGTGAATGGCAGTCTGGTGGCAGCAGCAGCGCCTAGTGGTGGCTTCATGGGTACAGGGTCTCAGAGGAATGAATGGTGGCTCTGGGCTGGGGTAACTTTCAAATCCCCACCCACCCCCTCCCCCCCGGACCCCCTGGTCTCTGCAGCGTGAATGCTCCCTCACCTTTTCCCTTCCCCAATCCCAAGATGCCTGACTTGCCCACGGGCATCACCCACTTAAGCAAGGGGGAGCGCAACTGGGAGATGGGGAGGGAGAAGCTGCTGCTGAGATGTGGGGTCAGAGGGCTTGGGGCGCCCTTTCCTGCCCCACAGTGGTGTCACCCCTTTCCCTCCCTCTTCTTCCCCTCACCGCTTCATGGCTAGCAGCTGGGGGAGGCATTTGGGGCTTGAGGTATTTGTCCCATGCCAAAGTGGTGCCACAGCCTCCTGGCGGAGGACCGAGAGTCGTTCTTGGTGGCTTCCTTAGATCCGGAGGGGGTCATTGTAAAGGAAACTGGGCTTGGAGAGGGGACTGAGAGGAGAGGTCGGACGGCTCAAGAGGAGGTGGCACGGGGTGTAATAGAGGAGGGACTTGCGGGGGGGGCGGGAACAAGATGGGGCCAAGTCCCCACCCACCTTGGGTTTCTCACGGCTGGGCTGGGCTGGAAGGGTCTCTGAGCACCGCTCCCGTCCTGAAGGGGCTGCACGCTTAACCTCTTCCCCCTGCAAACCTTCTCTCAGCCGCCTCCTTCCCTTTTAGTGGTAGGTACTAAAACTGGGGGATCCTGCCCCCCGTGGGATGAGGACCCTCCCACCGCCCCTTCCCCGCCTCTCTGCTACAGTCGGGGCTTTGGCCAACCAGCAAGGCGGTCAGACAGCTGAGCCTTGCTATTGGCTGACCCTGCAGCGGGCGCTCTCTGAGTCCCGCCTCCTCCAGCGCTGCCAGCCTCTGACTGGGAAGGCGGCGGCGGCGTGGAGGCTACTCCGGGAACCCTGGGCCGGGTGGGGGGCAGCCATGGCCGGCAGCCCGGGCTGCGGGGCCTCCTTGGAGGGTATACCCCTGGGCTCCTCTGAGGAAGCCGAGCTCCAGAGGGAAGGTAGGGA